AATCAGCCTTCTGAAATAATTCAAGCCAATGTTGGGAGTGTGTCATTAGTTGATACATAAAGGTACTTGCCTCTACTAAATCCTGCCTAATGTAACGGTCAGTGAATTCTAAGTTAGTGCATCCCTTCATCATGAAACGTTATTGACTACATGCCTGGCACGGTGCCAAGCTCTGAGAGACAGGAGTATGAGGGGCAGGTGCCTTAGGCAGTCCTGTACTCACCCGTAACAATGTGATGTCATCAACAGAGTGAAGATTCACATTTCCAAGGCAATGCCCAAATCCAAAAATCAAGTTCCACACCCAGTTAGCGGCACTTTCTGTCTGCAGGCCCGGTGCTCCGAGCGGAGGGAGACAGGGGGCAGCAGGGCCTACAGTTCCCACCTTCACGGAGAGAGACATTGTGGGAAATGCACAAAGTGCCGAGGGGGGTTGGGGGGGCTCCGAGAGGAAGTGAGTCTTTCCTCCCGGAGGGGGCAGGAAAGCAGGTCAGGAGGGCGGTCTAGCGGCCAGTGCTTCCTCTCACTGAGGATGCCACGGATTTTCACCCTCTGCTCCTGCACCTTCAAAATGAGCTGCTGGGCCGGCAGGCGGACACCTGACCAAAAATACCCAGGAAATAAGACGAGGAGGACATTTAGCCTTTGGCATAGAGTGACAACAGGAAGAACGAGTAGGAGCAAAAAATATAGAAAACGTTGTAGGAGAACCTACAACTGAGACTACATTGGAAGCGTAACATTTTTATTTGAATCAATGTAAGAACTTTTGAAAACTGATGTTAACAGAAAATCTTTAGCATCATGACTATCCTATTATAATTTTAAAAATCTGGTTTTAAAGCAACTCAAAGCTCCTGGCTGGCGTGGCTCAGTGGTTGAGTGTCAACCTGTCAACCAGGAGATCACAGATCGGTTCCCGATCAGGGCACATGCCCGGGTTGTGGGCTCCATCCCCAGTGTGGGGCGTGCAGGAGGCAACCTATCAATGATTCCCTCTCATCACTGATGTTTCTATCTCTCTCTCCCTCTCCCTTCTTCTCTAAAATCAATTTTAAAAATATTTTTAAAAATAAAATAAAGCAACCCAAAGCAACATGCATATTTTCCTAAACATCACAAAATAGAAAACCTGTTTTGCTAGAAGTGTTTGCAGGCTGTGAGGGCTTTTCTAAAACGAGGCCTGAGGAGCGGGTGCACGTACCTTTTCCTCTTGCTAAGTCACATGTAATCGGGCATTTACCGCAGGCCTGCATCCGAGCTGAAATTCGCATAGTGCTCTCAGGTCAGCGCTTACAGAGCAGACCCCTTACTCGTCACCCACCCTGTGCAGTTCATTCGCCTCGCTAATACATTTTCTTCCTCTCTGTTCTTAGGGCGAACAGCACCTGCCAAATTTTTGAGACAGCTCGCGGCTTAGGGGAAGGCTCATCTAAATAAAGGCCGGCTAAAGTGACATAGCGGGACTTAATCCTCCACTCGCCCGCCCGCCCCGGCCGGAAGGCTGTTGGCAGCTTTCTTCTTTCTGGGGCTCCAGATGATTAGGTCTCGGGCCCTGCGACCTGCCGGCAAGAGCCTCGTGAAATGAGGGAGGTCAGAGCTGAGCGCCAGCAGCCGGGGCCCCGGCGGCCTCCACAGTGATAGATCCTCTGACCCTCAAAGGAAATAGCAAACCGGACCGTGGTCCCAGGACCAGCCGCCTAGCACAGAGCATCAGACTGCACTGCGGCCAGGAAGTTCCTGCAGCCGGACAGGGGGGAACAGGGGTGGCAGCGGTGCAAGGGCATGCGCCCTCCTGCACAGTGAGAGCTGGGAAGTCCGGCCCAGGAAGGTGAGGGCCTCCGGGGAAGCTCTGCGGGCTCCGATGGGCTGGGGCCCTGGCGGTCCCTAACGCCCCTCGCCCACCCAAGGGGCCCCTTCTGCGCCTCCCAACCTGCCGCTGGCCGCGCCTCCTGGCTGAGATGGAGACGGGAGCTGCTGCGGTGCCATGACGATGACAGCAGTGTGCGTGGATGGAGGCGGCCTGGTGAGCCCGCACTGCGCCCGGTGGGACCGGCGGGACAGCGTGGAGAGTGGCTGCCCCACGGAGTGCAGCCAGGAGGAGGCCGAGGGGCAGGCGCGCCAGCTGACGCCCTTCGAGAAGCTGACCCGGGACATGTCCCAGGACGAGAAGGTGGTGAGAGAGATCACGCTGGGGAAGCGGATCGGCTTCTACCGCATCCGCGGGGAAATCGGCAGCGGGAACTTCTCCCAAGTCAAGCTGGGGATTCACTCCCTGACCAAAGGTAGGACCTGCCGCCCAGGCGGCCCCGTGGGGGCGGGACCCAGTGCGGGGCGGGGCCAGGAGCCCAGGGCCAGGAAGCCAGTGACACGTTGTCACCTGAGCCCTGCCCTCTGTTATTTCAGTTAATTTTCACGGTAAGGGTGTGAGGACAATGTTTTTGTTTCCACTTTGCAGATAGGGACACTGAGACCCACAGAAGTTACATGTGGCCTCAGCAGTTCAACCTTAGATGATTCTGACCCCAAACACTCTCCCCCTACACCATGCGAATGAATTCACTCAAACACTGTGGGGCCCTGGCTGGTGTTCCCAGTGGTTAGAGCCTCTGCCCACGTAATGAAGGTTCACAGGTTTGATTCCTGGTCAAGGGCATGTACCTGGGTTGTGGGTGCACTCCCTGCCGGTCCCCTCCCCTCAAGGATGAGTGCAGGAGGCAACCAGTCGATGTGTCTCTTTCTCATCTATGTTTCTCTCTTCTCTCTCTCTCTCTCTCTCTCTCTCTCTCTCTCTCTCTCTCTCCCTTCCTCCCTTTGGCCCTTCCATTCTCTCTGAAAAAGCAATGGAAAAAAATACTTGCAGGTGAGGATTAACAAAAAAACACTGCAGGGCTCTGTCCTGCTGACGTGGAGTGTGGCTTGGTTCCAAGGCAACTCACAGTCCAAGCTTTTGTTTATGTCTCCCGTTTGTATCTGTGTGTCAACGCCAATGACGCAGAACGGCCTGGAGACCTCCAGTCTCCCCTCCTGACCCGAGGCTGCTACTTGTATTATATTGGGGGAAAAGGGCTTTGCTCTCAGGACCACCTCTGCTCACTTCCTGCCGGCCCTCTCCGTACTGTCTGCTCTGCACCGTCCTCATTGCTGCTGGGTTCCTTGCTGTCTACCAAAGGCCCACCCCTGCTGGGTACCAGTCACGCTGGGTCCTATTGCAGCAGCGCCCAGCACACTGGCCTGGGGGGGGGGGGGCGGAGCAGGGAGGAACCCTGCGGAGAACCGGGCCGTGTGGGCTCTTCCCTGCTTACCTCTTGCTTAGCTGAAGCCTGGACATGATCAAAGGGAGTTACAACACAGAAAAGGAACCCTTGTGATCTGTACAATTTACAACTTCCTAAGCCCATGGGCTCGCTCTGCCCTCTCCCCAAGAGTCCACCCTGACATGTTCTCTCCTAGGCCCCAGCCCGAGCTGCTCTGCCCCGTTGTCAGAAGGCACAAGGCCAAGAATGATGGTTGCGTGTCCCACTGCCACATACTAAACACTCTCAGCTTTCTTGTCCATCTCCATCCACATGTTTCATTCTATTTCAGCTCAGATTTTAAAGAGAGAGAACACAGGGGTGGGCAAAAGTAGGTTTATAGTTATGAGTACGTGAATCACAGAGTTTATTCTTGTATTATTATTCATACACTAGAGGCCCAGTACACAAAAATTTGTGCACTGGGGGGGGGGCATCCCTCAGCCCGGCCTGTGCCCTCTCACAGTCTGGGACCCCTCGGGGGATGACCACCTGCTGGCTTAGGCCTGCTCCCTGGGGGGATTGGGCCTAAGCTGGCGGTCAGACATCCCTCTGGCAGCCCGGGAGCCCTCAGGGGATGTCCACTTGCCAGCGGGGAGCAGGCCTAAGCTGCAGTCAGACATCCTTAGTGCTGCTGAGGAGGCAGGAGAGGCTCCCACCACCACTGCTGTACTGGCAGCTGTCAGCCTGGCTTGTGGCTGAGCAGAGCTCCCCCTGTGGGAGTGCACTGACCTCCAGGGGGCAGCTCCTGCATTGAGCATCTGCCCCCTGGTGGGCAGTGTGTGTCATAGTGACCAGTCATTCCCAGTCCTTCTGCTGTTAGGGTCAATTTGCATATTACCCTTTTATTATATAGGAGTGCCTGGCCAGCCTGGGAGAGGGGCTGATAGCTGTTTGCAGGATGCCCAAGCCCCCCAGTGGGGACCCTCACCCCATGAGGGTGTGGCCAGCCTGGGTGAGGGGCTGATGGCTGTTTGCAGGCTGGCCACAGCCCCTTCAGGGTAGGGCTCCCCCCTGAGGTGCCTGGCCAGCCTGGGAGAGGGGCTGATGGCTGTTTGCAGGCTGGCCATGGCGCCCAGCCACCCAAGCTCCCAGTGGAGGCTGGCTGGAAGCAGGTATCTGGGATTTATTTAGCTTCTATAATTGAAACTTTGTTGCCATGAGCATTCCACAACCAGCTCAGGGCAGGCAACCATTGCCCAGGCAACCAAGCCTCCTGCTTGCTCCAGCTCCGTGGCTGCCGGCCGCCATCTTGGTTGGGTTAATTTGCATATAGTCACTCTGATTGGCTGGTGGGCGTGGCTTAGGGCATAGCAAAGGTACGGTCAATTAGCATCTTTGTCTTTTATTAGTGTAGATTATTGTATTATTTATTACTATTGTTAACCTGCTTTTGCCCGCCCCTGTCTGATTGCTCACTAACCAGTCGATGACGGGCCAACTTGGGGTCAAGGGCATCCTGTGTCAAGTTAGCGGCAGCCTTAAGGTCCCGAGGCCCCATGACTCTCAACAGAGCCCAAGGTCCAGACAGGTGTGTCTGCGAAGGTGAGCAGAGTGACAGGGCATGTCCACCATAGAGACAGGAGTCACAAGACGGCATCTGATTCCGTAGACAGGCTCCAGCGTGGGCTGGACCGGAGAAAGAGAAGCAACAACTGGTATTTATACATGACTTCCTTCTTGGACTCCTCAGGTGTCTGTGGTATCACTAAATTAAGTTCATTCTTGTCCCTGAGTTGCAGAGAGCACGGCATTTTCCTGCGGTGCAGTTGGGCACTTGGGTGGCCTCACTGGCATCAGATCCTCACTGCTAACTGGCCTCTTGTCCAAGGTGCAAGTCACCCTCTGGTTACGGGATCCATGTGCCAAAGAGGAGGAAGGTCAAAAGCACAGGCAGTGCGGAAATCAGATCAACAGCAAGTTCAAACAAGCCAGAGAATGTACCGGCAGCTAACTGAGCACATTAGACCGATGCAACAGAAGAAAGGAATCCCAGCCTCACCTCCCAACTCTTACACCCTAGTCCTGGCACCACGCCCCATCTCTCTCCTGGGCTTCTACCCATCAGCGAGGCCCCCACCCCCACCCCAGCGAGCGGAGGAAAGAGTAGAAAAATGAGAATAAGTGGAACTGAAAGGGGGACAGGAAGGGAAACCTGGGTGCAGAGGCCTGCGAGGCGATGAGCACAGGTGGCTGTTCAGGCGCTGGGAAACAGAATCTCGGGCAGGAGAATGAAAAGAGGATGAAGTGAGTCAGGGCGAAAAGACCGTGGCTATTAACGGAGAGGGGACATTTGGCTACTCTGAGTGGACGGGAATGGAAAGAAAGGGCGAACGTTCCTCTAAAAGCTGTATATCTAGCCCTAGCTGGTTTGGCTCAGTGGATAGAGCGTCTGCCTGGGGACCGAAGGGCCCCAGGTTTGATTCCGGCCAAGGGCACATGCCTGGGTTGCGGGCTCGATCCCCGGTGGGGGGTGTGCAGGAGGCAGCCAATCAATGATTCTCTCTCATCATTGATGTTTCTATCTCCCTCTCCCTTCCTGTATAAAATCAATAAAATATAAAAATAAATAAATAAAAGCTGTACGTCTAAAAGAGGAAGGTGACTCATTGGCGAGTGGTTTGGGAAGACTTGCTGGGAATTTCAATGCCTGTCCCATAGCCAGGCCACGCCAGAGTAGGCAATATGGGTTGCCATTCCTATCAATATGGTCCCCATACAAAGCCCACTTGGCCGATTGTCGTGGGTGTCCTAGGGAGCGTGGACACAGGCTTGATGAGATAAATAAGGGAGACTTTCCTGGGAAAGCCGAGGGCTCCTGTGGGGCAGCTCCTAGGACAGTGGTTTTTAAACCAGTGCCAGCTGCTCTAATCTCTAGAAAAAAGGCTCCAATCCAGGCCCCTGCTGGCTGGGGTTTATTTTTGTGGCGAACAGCTCAGGTTCCCCCAGGCCTTGCAAGCTGATAGGGTGGCTGAAGCCATCATGATTAGAATCAGGCTGATTAGAAATTTCTCAAAAGAGATGATGCACTTGGCTTCTGAATATTTTATGTCCCATCTGTTGTCACAGAGAACAGTGAAAGAGGCGGCGGTGTCTGTCCCTTTCTCTTTGTGCCCTTCCTGACCTCTTCTCCCCTGGTCTTCCTCTCGCTACTCTAGTCTCAAGTTTCCTAAACGCTTTCTTCTCCTCTCTCTCAATTTATTTATTTATCAGTTCACTTATTCCTCTTTTCAAAAATATAATAAACTCTCCCGTACCCACACTTCACTCTGGGCCTTTAACAGAGATGAATGAGGTACATTCTAGCCTGATAGAGACCCACACTATGTAATGGAGACAGACAGGAAACAATCAGTAAGTGATGTCACCCGGTAAGGTACAAAGGGTGTGCTCAGCTGTGCCCGAGGGTGTCAGGAAAGGGTCAGTTGACCAGGAAAGGCTGGGGTTGGGTCTTGAGGTTTGAGGAGAAATTATCCAAGTCACAGGGATAAGGGGATTCCAGGCAGAGAGAGGCTGTCAAGCTCATGGAGGTGTGAGTCAACATTTACAGGTCAGCGCGCTGAGATTACAGTACAGAGAAACACAGAATCGGGACACCAGGATCTTCATAGAATGGGAGTCATGGAAGGCCTCCTGGAGGAGGGTGGTTTGGAGACTGGCCTTGAGAGACCATCTGGAGTAAACTGCGTGACGGACAGGAAAGGGGTCATGCACCAGATAAATGAGCCAGGCAGAGGAAAGCTTCCAGGCATACGAGTTTCATCCCTTTTCAAGGAACAACAAAAGGTTCTGTAACAGTTGGAGTCAAGTTGTGGATGGGAGGTCAGGCTGATGGACAGGAGGTGAGGGTGGGGACAGAGATGATGAATGGTGGACAGTGGTGAGGATGGTGGACAGGAGGTGAGGATGGTGGACAGGAGGGGAGGATGATGGACAAGAGGTGAGGATGGGGACAGGGATGATGAATGGTGGACAGTGGTGAGGATGATGGACAGGAGGTGAGGATGGTGGACAGGAGGTGAGGAAAAAAAAAAATATATCTGGATGGCAAAAAGGAGGTGAGGATGGTGGACAGGAGAGGAGGATGGTGGATAGGGGTGATGGATGGCGAAAAGGAGGTGAGGATGGTGGACAGGAGGTGAGGATGGTGAAAAGGAGGTGAGGATGGTGGACAGGAGGGGAGGATGGTGGACAGGAGGGGAGGATGGTGGACAGGGGTGATGGATGGTGAGGCTGAGGAGGTGAGTGGGTCTGATTAAGAGGGGCTTTCTTGGTGAAGCAAAGGGACTTCAATGTCATCCAGAAAACTGGGTAAAGATCATCAACTACAACCTCCTTGGGAGGCAGGAGTTGGCATCAGGCCCTGTGCAGGGAAGATCAGGGATGAGCTCTGTGAGCTTGGGGACAGCCATTTAACCTCTGTCTCATAAAATAAAGGGGCTGATCTAGGTCCCTCTGGGTTCTAAATTTCTTTTTTTTAAAAAAAAAAATATATCTTTATTGATTTCAGAGAGGAAGAGAGAGGGAGAGAGAGATAGAAACATCAACGATGAGAGAGAATCATTCATTGGCTGCCTCCTGCACGATCCGGGATCAAGCCCACAACGACACCAGGCAGGAATCGAACCGTGACCCTCCTGGTTCATAGGTCGACGCTCAACCACTGAGCCGCCGCAGCCGAGCCCGTTCTAAATTTCTATGAGCCTGTGAACACTGGCACATTCTTTTCTCTTTTTCCAGAAAAGGTGGCCATTAAAATCCTGGACAAGACCAAGTTAGACCAGAAAACCCAGCGGCTGCTCTCCCGTGAAATCTCCAGCATGGAGAAACTGCACCACCCCAACATCATCCGCCTTTACGAAGTCGTGGAGACCCTGTCCAAGCTCCACTTGGTGATGGAGTACGCGGGGGGCGGGGAGCTCTTCGGGAAAATTAGCACCGAAGGGAAGCTCTCGGAACCAGAAAGCAAGTTCATCTTCTCCCAGATTGTGTCTGCTGTGAAGCACATGGTGAGTGGGCCAGGAAGGAGCGTCTACTCTCATTCTACCCACAGTGGGAGCGTGTGGCTTCCGTTTACCATCATGCAGCAGCCCCGAGGGTGTCAGTCTCACAGGGCAGACAGTAGCCCCTCCTCTGCTGGTCGGAAGCCTGGCTGTGCTCATTCTCCTTGCCTCTGAAGCATCACCCAGGAATCTCCAGTGACAACGCAGCCTCCTGGCTTCTGGAACTTAGCAGGAGTCACTCTGAGCAGCTCGATGACACTCACCCACTCTGGTCACGCCCATCTCTCCAACCCCATCTTCCTCTAGCCAGAGCTCTTCGCTCTTTCTTGGCCTTGCCTTCCTAACTCTGTGTTGAGGATGTGTTCTCCTCTATCAACACATCTCACATTCCAACTCCCATCCACCCTTCACAACCCAGCGCAGGCCTGTCTCTCTGAAACTCCCTTCAATCTCACAGCAGCTCCCACCCATCTTTCTCGACTTCCGTGAACTCCTCTACCTCTTGTTGCCTCTGTGCTCAGACTTTGGTGTCCTAGTTTAGTCCCTGATTCTTTTTGTAGCTAAATCTGGACTTCTAAAGCACATTCCCTAGATCTTTTTTTTTTAAAAAAAATATTTTTTTATTGATTTCAGAGAGGAAGGGAGAGAGACAAAAACATCAACAATGCCAGAACCGGTTTGGCTCAGTGGATAGAGCGTCGGCCTGCGGACTGAAAGGTCCCAGGTTCAATTCCTGTCAAGGGCATGTACCTTGGTTGCGGGCACATCCCCAGTGGGAGATGTGCAGGAGGCAGCTGATCAATGTTTCTCTCTCTCATCGATGTTTCTGGCTCTCTATCTCTCTCCCTTCCTCTCTGTAAAAAATCAATAAAATATATTTTTTTAAAAAACACAAAAAAACCCAAAAACAAACAAACAAAAAAAACATCAACAATGAGAGAGAATCACTGACTGGCTGCCTCTTGCATGCCCCCTACTGGGGATCAAGCCCAAAACCTGGGGATGTGCCCCCTGGTTCATACTAGTACAGTGGTTCTCAACCTTCCTAAGGCCGCGACCCTTTAATACAGTTCCTCATGTTGTGGTGACCCACAACCATAAAATTATTTTCGTTGCTACTTCATAACTGTAATTTTGCTACTGTTATGAATCATAATGTAAATATCTGATATGCAGGATGTATTTTCATTGTTACAAATTGAACATAATTAAAGCATAGTGATTAATCACAAAAACAATAAGTAATCATATATTCAATATGTGTTTTCCGATGGTCTTAGGCAATCCCTATGAAAGGGTCGTTCGACCCCCAAAGGGGGTCACGACCCACAGGTTGAGAACCGCTGTACTAGTAGATCAACGCTCAACTCCTGAGCTACGCCTAGATCTCTGAAGAGCTGCGCTTCGGTGCCCTTTGTAGCGCTGGCTGAATTGCTGGGCGCAGGAGGAACTGACTGCAGACCCGACCACCACTTTCACAAATATCAGCGCAGATGTTCGGCTGCCCTCTTTACCCAGGTCTCAGTCAGTCCAATGGGCAGACAAGTGACACTTGTCTGGGATCTTAGTTGAGAGGCTGTTTCTAGGTCACTCCTTTGCCTGGCTGTTGTGGGGTCAGTGACCTCCTGGCCAAATGATCAGCAGGAAACTAGTGACCTGGGGGACCCAAGAGAGCAGGCAGAAGAAATGGGGGAGGAAGGAGTGACCGGAGAGAAGAGCCTTGTCGCAGTGGCGGCGGGCGCTTTAGCCCGTCATTAAGTGGCCTGTGCTGTGGTGCACCTTCCCGGGCCAAGGAACAAGCCAGACACATCACACAACAGAGCCGTTGGGAAAGGAGTCTAGCACGTCCTCCTTGGAGAAGAGACCAGAAGACCCAGGAGTAGAGGGTGCAGACCGAGTCCTCCGGAGCTCGGAGCCCTGACGTCCTCCAGGCCAGGCGCCCTGGTCTCCAGAGGATGGATCGCAGACAGGGTTTCAAATTTCATGGAGGGTATTTACTCTGCACCAGCACCCTGCCGAGCGGGACAGACACAGCGGATTTACAGTTCTCCCAACGCCCCATGAGGTGCCCATCCCTATCCCATTTTACAAGGTAGCGAACTGACACAGCTGGTATTGTTGAACCTACAGCCAAGCTGTCAGGCTCCAAAGCCTGGATGCTTACCCCAGGAGGCCCATCGGCAAGAGCGATAGTAAAGCACATCCCAGGAGTCATTGGGACTGAGCAGGTGAAGATTGTCTGGATTCAGAACGCCAGGGTCGGGGTAGGGCCTGGGCTCAACCCGCACGCTCCTGCTGCTGGCACCTCCTCCCTTCTACTGACTTCTGTGAGATGGAGGAGCCGCCTGGCGGAGCGTGGTGGGAAAGCTGGGAGGGCTCCAGGCCTTCTTGGGGTTGACCCGAGTCAAGAGATTGCTCAGCCAGAAAAACCCATCCATGACCTCAAAACAAAGGACTATTGGCTCATTACGTTCTGGAATAGTAGTTCAGTAAGATCTGGGTCTTATTTCTGGGTCTGATTCCCGAGTTCACACGTGCGGGACAAACTCCAACCTCACCCCACAGGAAAATGAAGCCTTTCATCCCTAGGGGGCCTGTGGGTGTTGTTTGGCTAAAGGTTATGGCAGGGCAGCTCTCCAGGTTTGCTGACGTGGTTAATCTCCCCTGAATTTCCTGTATTACACCATCTCACTGTTTCAGAGCTGCTGATGCATATTTCCTGATGGTATTTCACTCTGGAAATGACCGTTCTCCCCTCTGTCTCCTCCCACAGCACGAAAACCAAATTATCCACAGAGACCTGAAAGCAGAAAACGTGTTCTACACCAGCAACACCTGCGTGAAGGTGGGCGATTTCGGGTTCAGCACAGTGAGTAGAAAAGGGGAGATGCTGAACACGTTCTGTGGGTCCCCTCCCTACGCTGCGCCCGAACTCTTCAGAGACGAGCACTACGTGGGCGTGTATGTGGACATCTGGGCCTTGGGGGTGCTTCTCTACTTCATGGTGACTGGCACCATGCCATTTCGGGCAGAAACCGTGGCCAAGCTGAAGAAGAGCATCCTCGAGGGCACGTACAACGTACCTCCCCACATGTCGGAGCCCTGCCTCCGCCTCATCCGGGGAGTCCTCCAGCCCATACCCTCTGAGCGGTACGGGATCGACTCCATCATGAACCATGAGTGGATGCAAGGGGTGCCATACCCCACCCCTCTGGAACCTTTCCAGCTTGACCCCAGACATTTGTCAGAAACCAGCACCCTCAAAGAAGAAGAAAATGAGGTCAAAAGCACGTTAGAACATTTGGGTATCACAGAAGAGCATATTCGGAACAACCAAGGGCGAGATGCCCGCAGCTCCATCACCGGGGTTTATCGCATCATTCTGCATCGGGTCCAAAGGAAGAAGGCTTTGGAGAGTGTCCCAGTAATGATACTACCAGACCCTAAAGAACGGGACCTAAAGAAAGGGCCCCGTGTCTACAGAGGCATAAGACACACATCCAAATTGTGCTCAATTTTATAAATTGCGACAGACTGGTGGTAATTAACCAAGGTCGTTGTTGCTGCTTTTAAACTTTTTCACGGTCAACTTGGTGGGGACATTTTTATAATTTCTAAATAAATTTAAATTTAAGGTATACATTCTTTCCCCCAAAAGAAGTGTATTAGCTCAGATTCTGGCTTGATTTACAATCTCCTCTTGTTCCAAAACACCAGCTGTGTCTACAATGGAAGAGCTGCTGTGCAGGAGACACCCCTATGGAGCAAGACTTGCTTCAGTGGGGCTTAGCTCACTGAGTCTGCCCCTTGAGTGTGTTGCTTGTGGGTGTGTAGAGTTGTAATCTGGTATTATCTGAAGTTGTCCACCGGGTGTACTGGTTCTAGGGCCTCCAGGGAAGTGCAAAGTCAGCCACTGCGTGGGGCCACCTGGCAGGAGCTACGGAGGGATCTTCAGACGGCTATTTGCTATTTGTATTGGGGTTGGAGGTGCCCAGGCTAGACCCAGCTATGAAGCAAGGCAGGCTGGTACTAGTGCCTAGTGCTGGGACTTGGGCCTTTTATTGATAGGTATGGGGCACGCTGTTCCAGCTGCAGCTTGTTTAAGAGATTTTAGCAAAGTCTGAAGCCTGAGCCAGGACTGGCCATTCATACGGAAAAGCTGAGCAAACAGCTTGGGTGGGACTGCAAATTGGATGGGGTGGGGTCTCGGAATCCTCAGGGCCAAGCAATGTGCTTCAGGCTGATGGAGACTCAGATATGGTGCCTGCCAGTTAGCCCTGTGACAGGGGAAGTCCCAGCAATGGGGGAATAATGACCCCTGCAAACACCCATCTGGGAGAAAGCTGCCCCTATGCCAGACAATCCAGTTCCTCCCCATATGTGTCTGGGTCCCCCAAAGCCTCCCTGGTGCTAGGAGTCTGAGTAAGTTTGTGGGCTGGCCCTTTAAGTGGGTCTCCAGCAGTCTCCCTGTCTCTCAGCCACAGCCCTCCTGGTTTTTACAGCCCATAGTTTTGGGCCTCCTCTTCCCAACTCTGGAATCCTGGGCCGGGGGGCTGGTGTGGGGCTGGGAGCCCTTGCTCCTCACGGGCGGCCTCCACAGGAACAGGGAAGATCTCCCTCCCGATTAAAATAATGGCAAACGTGGGTGTCGGACCAGCCCGTTCCATGCCTCCTCCCCTCCTGTGCTTTCTTCTTTACTTCCCTAGTTGTAGGATTTCCATTCAGCCACCTTTCAGGTGGTTCTGAATGATGGTGGTTCTGTATTTCAGTAGTAATTCTGATGTGGTTGTGGGAGGCAGCGAGTACAGGCGTTTGCCTATGGCACCATCTTGGTTCTCTACCTGCCACTTTCAGATGCTAGATCCACCTTGATACAGTGGGCAGGCATGATGTTCTGCAGAATGTCAAGGTCCTTTCAGACTATTGACACAGAGCAGGAGACTGGTCACCACCTGGGGTAACAGAGTAAATGACAATCGATGTCCATCCCAGAGAAACGTGAACTGTTTTTGATCCTCCGTTCCCTGGTATCGTTCCAGCATAGACTTTTATCCAACAGTCCTCAAAAATTCTGGGTGTATATGTTGCATACACATGTGGCAGCAGAGAGACTTGGCCTCTCCCACTGCACGGGACCTGTCAATCAACTTACACCTGGGGCCATGATTCTCTCACGGTGACAGGCTACCCCGGGCTCTGCTCACCGACTTGCCTCCTTTCTTTCTCTTTTTGGTTTTGCAAGTCAAGTAACTAACACTCCAGCCAGCTGTCACTCAGAACTCTGTGATCTGTTAGCCATTGTCACAAGCCCCCGCAGGGCAAGACACCCTGATTTCCACTCCAGCCTTATGTCCATTCAATTATGTCCACCTTGCCTGACATGTATATATTACCACATGGCCTCTGCCATGCTGGAATCCCACTGTCCCTGGCAAAGGCATGCCCGGTTCCACGCAGCGTTTCCCCATCAATCCCTGATGTTCGAACAGGTGCTGCGCACTCTCATTGCCTCAGTGAAGGGAACGTGCTCCTGGGAAACAGGTGGTTCTCCAGTCTCATGTAATGAATCCATTCTGACATTCACACCTCCTGGAACCTCCTGGAACTTCCTGTCCCTGCCCTGAAAACACTACGCCACGGCAGCTCCACTGTGTGCGCCTCATTCACTGTGAGCCAAGCTCATGGCCAACCTCGACAGCCGTCCCTGCAGAACATAGGACCAGCTCAGGCGCCCTTCACTAATGCTCCCATGATAACAAACTGCCCTTTATCCTGCCTCATATTTGTCCCTCCACCCCCACCCCTGGCCCGATGCCCTCAGGATCCTCCCCCGCTCCCCCCACGTTCCCCCTTGGCTCCTGACAGTGCACCTCTGCCAGGTTCCGCAGCTCCTTCAGTGTCTAAGCTACTTCCTCCGGGACAGGGTTGTAGTTCTCTGCGCGGGATGTGTAGGGAGCTGCCCAGCTCTCCGTTTGGAGAACAAAGGTATTGGAAGAGCATCTCGAGGAGGCCGAGCAGCATCTTGCAGGCAGGCATCTGCCTCCCTAGACCTCGGCGGGGTCTTCAGACAAGGAAGACCCGCGTGAGGGGAGCCGGTTTTCAACATTTTCAGACTCATCTTCCCTTTCGTTACTTAGACCCTAGTCTCCCACTCTCTTCCTATCAAGGCCCTGACTTTGATAAAAGAGGGTGGTCAAGTACTTCCTATGCAGCTCAGCCACCCTCCCTACTAGGCCCTGGGCCTCACAGGTGCTTTTCCTCTGCGGCAATCCAAGGCCCTCAGACTTTCACAGTAGACTCGATGGTTGGCTGACTTAAAAGCATCTTATTTAGTTTTTTCCCCAGGCTTCAAAGCAGTTAATGAAAGCTGGCCAAACCCAGGCTTTATCATTGCCCTGTACTGGTCAAGCGCCACAGGTGCTACATGATCCGGCTCTGGCCCACCTGCACCTGTAGTGACAATAACCTGCTGCCCTGCCTGCAGGGCGACTGCACCCTGCCCACCAGCAGTGCCTTTGGTTCCCCTGATGCCGTGATGTCTTGGTGGCAAGAAACAACACAAATGTATTACCTGACAGTTCTGTGGGATGGAAGCCCAGCATGAGCCTCATTGCGCTGAAATGTGTGAGGTCTGGGCTTTCTGGAGGCTCCAGGGAGAACCCATTTCCTGGCTTTTTCCTGCTTCTAGAGGCATCCCACATTCCCTGTCTGGTGGTTTCCTTCCTCCACCCTCAAAGCCAGCAACGTGCATCTCCCTGGATGGAAGCCCAGCAGGAGCCTCATTGCGCTGAAATGTGTGAGGTCTGGGCTTTCTGGAGGCTCCAGGGAGAACCCATTTCCTGGCTTTTTCCTGCTTCTAGAGGCATCCCACATTCCCTGTCTGGTGGTTTCCTTCCTCCACCCTCAAAGCCAGCAACGTGCATCTCCCTGACTGCCCATCCTCCCATGGCCACCAGGCGACAGCCCAGATGGGTCTGCGTTTAAGGCCCCATGTAATTAGGTTTGGGTTATCCGGACCATTAGGGAAATCTCCCATCTCCCAGTCCTTAACCTTAATATCTGCTTTCACCATGCAGGGTAACATTCTCAGGGGCCAAAGATGGTCATCTTTCGGGGTGGGGCCATCACTCTGCCAACTACACACCGCAATGGGATGGTTTGCATGGTTGATGAGTAAACCAGCTCCAACCTCCCATCCCGAGGGTCCATTTTATGACTGTCCCGGGTATCAACGGTCTTAGCCTGAATTCTCCAAAACAGCAGATCCTGACACAGAAGCTGGCAGGCAAGTCATTTATTTGGGAAATGACCCCAGGGTGCGGGACACACAGGAGTACAACAAAGAGAAGGAAAGCCAGCATAAGATGTGTTGCTGGATCGGCCACAGGACACTGGTCGTTGATCTGCAGGATCTGAGTGCTGCTCAGAACTGTCTGCCCAGGGGATGGAAGGAAAAAGCATTTACCCACCAGTGAGTGTCCACCATCGGTCACCAGCAAGTGACCCCAGGGGAACTTAACCGCTCTGCCCTTCCGGGAGGTGAAATTTTGTGTACCAAGTGAGTTCTGTGGGGATCCCACATCGCAGTGAGGCCAAAGAGGGGAGTATGTAGCAGGAATCCAAAGGGAGGTGCTCTCATATTCTCTGAGACCCTGGTGAAGACCGCAGGGCAGAGGTCTGAGTGGGGCCCAAGGTTTCAGATGCATAGATCAAAGGCTGGAAGGCTGGAGTACCTTGGCATGTTTGAGGAATGGAGGAAAGGCAGGATGAGTGTGGGACTGAGTGTGGTGCTGGCCGGGACCAGATCCCGTGGGAGTTTGCAAGCCTGAGTAAGGAACGTGATGCCCTCCGGGGTGAAAAGTGCTCACTACCGGGTAAGGTAGCCCAGGCAGCTCTCAGGATGGAAGCAACTTGTGCTGGACCCGGAAGACCAACAAGACTTTGCTAAGGTGGGTTGGGAGCTTTCGCAAAATTCAATAACTCTTACTATTATTGCCTACACAAAGACGGAATAGGACAAATAAGATTTCCTTGTTTTTTTTACTTGTAAACATTTAAATACAAATGCATTTTTAAAAAAATTATACCCTAGAGTCCTGATGATCTAGAAACTTCCTGAGGATTGGTATTCATAATCTCCGGCATCAAATTACTGCCTTTACAATTTGGGGGGGGGGGGGGGGGGGGGGACTATTTTCTTCCACCACCAATTAGAGGGAATAAAATGAGGAGCCTATGTTCAATTAAGAGCAGTTGCTAGAAATTTTAAAGAAAGTGTTCATGTTTGTGTCAAGATTACATAGCTCTAATTTACTTAAGGATCATGTTATGCCTGGCCGGTGTGGCTCAGTGGTTGAGAATCAACCTACGAACCAGGAGGTCATGGTCCAATTCCTGGTCAGGGCACTTGCCCATGTTGTGGGCTTGATCCCCAGGGGTGCAGGAGGCAACTGACCAATGATTCTCTTTCATCATTGGTATTTTTCTCTCTCCCTCTCCCTTCCTCTCTGAAATCAATAAAAATATATTTTTTAAAAAGATCATGTTACATTCCTTGTTCTGTTGATTCTACTTCATTGTTTCTTAGGCCATTTCAAATAGCAGAACAAGAGAAAGTATTTCAACTAAGTCACAAGAGG